ACGATCCTAGTATGTTGGGGTCCAGGTTTGACCCTCTTTTAGGGTGTCTACATTGTCCCTAGCAAGAGGTGGCCTGGCATAATAGAGAGATCACAGAACTCAAGGTAGAAGACCTGGGTTTGATTCCCAGCTTTGATATTTCCTTAGCTGTGTGACCAGGGACAAATTACTTCACCTCTGGGAGACTTATCTGGAAGAAATGAGGATAAAACTTGCACTATTTACCTCACAGGATTACAAAGAAGATGCTTTGCAAATCTTAAAAGTGCTGACCTTCAATGTAAGCTCTTCCATTTTCATGGAGGTCATCTAGACTAGCTTCTTCATTTAACAGATAAAGAATTGTGGCACAGGCAGTTTAAATGACTTGCTCAAGGTCACATAGCTAGTCAGTGGCAGTGCTAAGACCAGGACTCTGGCCTGCTAACTACAAGTCCAGTATTCTTTTCACTCAATCAACATTTTCTTTCTCTTTCACTGGGACTCAAGGCCCACCTAGAAAACAAAATCAGCCTTGCAAAAAGAAGTCACAAAACAAATAGCATTTAGAGTTAGGAGAATTCTTCTTTGACTGTGTCACAGAAGGATTACTGATTTCTCTCTAGGGATACAATTCACTGTCTCAAGGCACTGAGGTGGGGCTTGGGCCTGAAGTCAAGAAGACCTAAATTCAGATCTAGCCTCAGATACTTCCTACCTGAGGGACATTAGGCAAATCTCTTAACCTCTGTCTTCTCAGTTAACTCAACTATAAAATGGGGATGATATTAGCACCTACCCAGGGTTGTTGTGAGGATGAAATGAGAAAATATTTGTAAAGTGCTTAACACACGGCCTGGCACGTGGTAGGTGCTTAATAAATACATATTCCCTCACTCCCTCCTTTCTAGGGACAGAAACTAGAAGCAAGTTCAGCTGGTACAATTCAGATAACAGTGCTAATCTGGAACAGAATACAGGTCCCATCATTCTTTGCTTCTTCAAAAGTGCATGCTCTGTATGAGCTGAAATAGATCTACCACAATGCAGAAATTATAGAGATAAAAACCTAGGTTTTATTATGCTTAAGCACAGGTTCAGAGGGGTAGAAAAATAACCCCTGATTCCTGATTAGAATTCTAACCAGGCTTCATTATATATAAAATGTATCAGAGTGACAGAGAAGTAATTCTTTTATATATTGCAATCTCATACATTCTTTTAGGCTATAGAAATTTTTTTTTCCCTGAGGCAATCGGGGTTAAATGACTTACCCAGGGTCACATAGCTAGTAAGTCTCAAGTGTCTGAGGTTGGATTTGAACTCAGGTCCTCCATACTACAAGGCCAGAGCTCTATCCACTGTGCCACTTAGCTACCCCTAGGCTATAGAAATTTTTAAAGAAATGATTCATAATATCATGCTTCCCTCAATGTCATAAGAGTTGCACAAACTTAGTTAAGAAGAATCATAATTTCATATATCCCCTAAGGTAATAAACCTAGTTAAGCAGACATCATAGGTAAACTAAGTCAGTTACAGATTAAACTACATTTAGAGAGTTTATTGAGAGGTGATTGAGAGGGAGAGACTTACATGCTTACAAAGGTAGCATCAGTAGAATCTCTTCCTCAAGTCAAATTACTTGGGAAGCCTTGGCTTTCTTTGTGGCTTTTCATCTGAGGGATGTTTGAGGCCTTTAATAAATGTTCACATCCCGTGGGACAGCTTTCAGGCAGCTCAGTCACCTCCTAACTAAGAGCAATGACCCTGACTCCCCACCTCCCATGATAAAAACTAATAAAAGGAAATAAAAAATAAAAATTCCAATAACAATTCTAATAACCCAATAGGAAGAGACCCAAATACAAACACAAACAATGCTGCTGTCCTGCCATCTTAGACTCTTTGGGCTCTTCCACTGCACTCACTCTAATGACCCTGACCACCCAAGTACGAGGCTGTTCTTTCCTATTCCCAAACTCCTCCATATATCAGAGGCTTCCTTCTCTATGTCGCCCTTAAAACTGATTGGTAGAAATTCCTGTGCCACCAGCTTCTGATGCGGTTTAGGGGTTCAGAGGTGCTGGGACCCCAAAATCACAACATATGAGTCCTGCCGGAAAGAATTCAACCCAAGCCTTCTTTCAGCCAAAGACAAGGTTTATTAGAATACCCATCATATTGGGCAGACTCTTAAGGAGTCTGAACATGGGTAAGCAATGGCTAGATTATAAGAATCTGAGCATCTTAATGGAGACAAGATGGACCTTATATTCAGAAAGACTGGGAAGGATCTAGGAGTGGCCAAGTAGTCCATGAGGTAATAGAATTACATCAAGGGTGGGAAGTGGCCCAGGGCCATAGGGAGGCAAGACAACTGAGGGGAGATTGGGTGTAGCCACAATGAAAGGAGAGTTGATGAGATTATAACCTCAGGTGAACACCAGAGATTTGGCCATGTAGGAAAGTCCAGGGCTTTTCCTTTCTGGGGCCCTGATCCCAACCCATCACTTCCACTTGCCTCAGATTTTCCCCACCACTGAGGGAAAGAAGCAGCAGAAATACTCCCGTATCCACCTGTACTTTCATGTTTTCCCTCTTGGACCCAATCTCCTGCCAGAAACATTAGAAATGAAAAATTACAACTGCTAGCAGTATGGGTCACAGCTAGCAAGCTAAGGCCAACTCCAAGAGACACTGACTCCATTCATCTAGGCTCTTGCCTAGGTCAGTTCTGTACAGTGGGTTTGGGCATCATAGAGTCAAGGTTTCCTTCTCCCTGTTATATTTTGATTCTGAAAATTAATCCAGCAATGCTGAGCATAGAGCCCTACTGAGTACCACTTAAGAGACTTCTCAGGCCTGACAATAAGACAGCAATTAATATACTCTTGGATTCTGGTGGTCAGACTAGCTCCAAATTCAACTAATTGTATCATCACCCAAACCACATCTCTCCCTTCTGTCCACAGTGTTGCATCCTTGCCCTCTTGCCTTGCTCTGGCACAAAACTGATTCCTTTATCTAGAATAACTCAAGAGTTGACTGGGGCTTAAGTTTGTTCCCCACCTTTTCTCCTGCCACTTTTTTGTATGGGAGAGAAAAAGAGTTTTGGCTTTCAGAAACTGGGTAACCCGAGAATTTCAGAAGCTTTGGAAGTTTGCACCAAGATTGTTGTTCATCCTTCGTTCTTGAAGAGGACCAATGATATGACAAGGGTGATGTCTTGACTTGCAAGTAAACTGGATTTAAGAGAGGCAGAGCTGTGCAAAGTCATCAGTCTCCCTCTCTCCTCCAGAGTCATCCAAGTCCAGTGGCAGGAAGTAAATCAAGATGACTTGGCAGTGGCCCAGTGCTCCAAGATTAGTCTCTACTCAGATGATGAGTCAATGTAATTAAGTTGCTAGAAATTAAACAGGAAGCCACATGGACTTGATAGTCCTAAACTAGGATGTGGTCTCTGACAGAGACCCAAACCTCAGTGAACAAATTTTTAAAATAGACTTACGTTTAAAGGCACAAGATAGCTAGAAATGACACTGCCCTGAGTTCAAAAGAGCTTGGTACCTGGCACAAGTACTTTCTTCCTGGATAATGAATCTTCTCTGCTCAAGGCTATTAAAGAACTACACAGACAACTTACCAAAGAAAAAGCAAAACCAGAGAAACCTTTCCTCTTTTAACACAAATGCTGTGAATGTGCTCTGGCTGTGTTCCCTATATATATACATATGCCTCTCTATGAACATTCCCTACCTACATCCAATTTCCCTAAGAAAAGTGTGCGTGTGTTGTTTATTTGTGGGAGTATGTCCCATGTTTATGTGGGAAATATTTATGTATGACCTTTTTTTTTTTATTACGCCATTAAATGATAGGTCTGTGTTTTGAACTGTGTTCTTTAGCTAATTAGAAAAGGCAAACACACTGATGGGAACTCAAAAGCTTTGGTTTTGGGTGATGTAGACCCATAGAGAACCTTGAACTTTCGATACTCTTGTCCTGGAGTTGGGAACATCCCCAGGTGTTAACAGACATACAATCTTCTCAGCCTGAAGTTTAAAAGCCTTTCACAATCAGGCTCCCACTTGCTTTTCTTACCTATTTTCCTATTATAAGCTGCATGCACTCCCTATTTCATTTAAACTAACCTATTAGCTGTTACCCACCTACATCTGGTTCCTATTTGCCTTTGCACAAAGAATTCCCCGAGTCTTTAAGGCACTCCCTACTTACCTGCAATATACAGGACCCCGAGCTTCCTTCACAGCGCAGGTGCCCCCTCTTTCCTCAAGCCTTTCCTGATACTCCTGTTATTTACGCTCTCTCCTTCGTACAAAAGAGACTTTGCATTTAGTTACTTCTGTTCAAGCAGGAATTCCCTCAATGGAATGCACGCTCCTTGAAGGCCAGATCTGTTTGCCTTGATTTTTCTATCTCTAGGACCAGTACAATCACGTATATGGCACGGGCTTGATAAATGTTTGACAAATTACATCAAATGTCTGTAAGGAGAAGGATGTTTGGTGGTGAACTCGGGCTGTGTGTTTGTGTACGTCTACGTGTGAATGTGGGGCGGCGGCGGTGGTGGTGGTGGTGGTGCGCTGTGCATGCCACGGAATTATTCTGATTTTTAAGACAACCACAACTATACTTTGGGGGAGGGGAGAGGCGGGCGGTTCTTGGTGCAAGGGGCCAGATCTGAGCGGGGCGTGGATTCAAGTCAGTAAACTGCGCTAAGAGCTGGGGATGCAAAAACATGCAAAACACGCGGATGCCAGGAACCTCGCTGGGCGTCTTTTGGACCCCGGCCTGACCCATCATTCCACCTATCCCTGGCTGGGTTGATCCCTCCCCTAGGCCCAGGTAGTTCTCCACGCCCGGCAGCCACGCCCTCTGCTTTGTCTCAGCCAGTCCGGCTCTGCTTGGGCGCCACCTCCTACAGGAAGCCTTTCCTGATTCCCCGCCCCCCCGCCCCCTCAGCTCTCTGCCCCGCCCCCCCACTCGTTTGGGTTTAGGAAGGAGAGACGAGGTGTCCCAAAAGTTTTAGTGCAGCTTAAACGTCCTTGGGGACAGCCTGTGGGTTTCATTTCTTTTCCCAGAATGTAAGTGCCAAAAGGTCAAGGGCGGTTCGTACCTCCTGTAGGCGCCTGAGAAGGAATCTTTGGGTGGGGGCGAGGCCGGGGTGGACCAGGTCTCCGAGGGACGGGGTGGGGAGGGGAGGAGAAGCCGGAGGGCTCGGGCCGCTGGGCCGCTGGGGCTGTGACGGACCCTGCGCGCGCACGCTCGCACGCAGGCGGGGTGGCGGGCAGCCCGGCCGTGGGGCCTCGGCGGCGGCGGCGGCGGCGGAGGCGGCGGTAGTAGCCGGGCAGCGGTGGCGGCCGCGGGCCGGGCGGCTCGGCGGCTGAGCTCGCTGGACCCGCCGGGCGGGCCCGGCCGGGCGGAGAGCCGATCGAGCGCGCGGGCCTTCGGCGGAGGTGCGGCGGCCGGCGAGGAGGGGCGCTAATGGGTTTGGGGAAGCCACCGTCCTCCCTTGTGTCTCCGGCCCGTAGGTCCTGGCAGCTGGGGGGCGGGGGGCGGCCCCGCGGCCCCCGGGGAAGGCTCCCTCTAGCGGCAGGGCCCAGACCGAGGGCCCTGCACGGGCTGCCGACCCAGCGCCCCGGTGGGGATCCCTCACATACCCCCCCATCGGGGGCGCCGAGCTGCCTTCCTCACAGAGGGATCCCCCGGCCGCTGCCCTTTGTCCACCCTCCCGGACACACTGTCCATCCCGGCGCCCCCAGTGGGGCTCTCTCCCCTAGATGTCTGTCCAGATGTGCTGAGCTGCCGTCCTGACCAAGGGCTCCCCCGGCCCCTGCCCTTCGGTCATATCTGCCTCCCTGCCCTTTGTCCTCCCCCTCCCCGTACACTCTCCAGTGGGGATCCTACACATTAAACCCCGATCCGGCTGCCTTGAGCTCCCTTTCTGACCCTTGGTTCCTCAAATTCTTGTCTTTTGGCTCCTCCCATTCACCCGCTCCACCAGCCTTACAAACTCCCCCATCTCAGCGCCCTCAGTAGGGTTCACACGATGCACCTCACCCGCACTCCCCAATTCAGGTCTATTGGGCTGACTTCCTGACACTTTAATCTCCAGGCTTTAGTGTCCCCCTCTGCCCCCCAGTACTCTCCCAATCCCAGCTGTCTCAGTGGTGATCCCATACACACTTCTCCATCCAGGTGCCTAGAGCTGTCTACTTGACCTTTTGCTTCATTCTGCCTGGTTCTCTCAGCATGGACCTTCACCTATCCGCAGCTTCCCTGACTGTCCATCCATCTATGCTCCTCCATCCCATGCTCCAGTGGGGACGGGACACCACCTCATGTTCCTCCATCCAAGTGACTGGTCACTGCCCTGGGGTATCTCTAAGGCCTCTTGATTTTCTTTTTATTCCTTCCCTTTTGAAGTGACCCTTTTCCTTCTTTACCTATTTATTACTCTAGCCCAACCCCCCTTACTGAACTGAGATAAAATATTCAAACTTCTGCTTCATCCCTTTCCACCTGAGATTCACCCCCTCTCACATTCTGTCCTGGATTTTTAGATATTTTACCTTATTGACAAATTGGGGTGGGGGGGGAAGAGAAACAGCTTTTTCATATCTGATGTTCTGATTTTTGGTTTAGAAGAGATGGTCACTACCTACCCCTAGAGGTACCTTTGACCTCTTATCTCACATGCCCCCTTCCATCCTTCACACACTTCTGCCTTCTTGGTTTTTGCTTCGCCTGATTCACAGAGGCTCATTTTTTGTCTACTGATCTTCCCCTTTTGCTTTCTAAGTGCTTCTTGTTAGAAGTAGGACCAGGGTAGGCAAGGTAGGCAGCCACCTGGGGGGGTGGGGGGGAGACATGAGGTTGGACACTTAATATTGATAGTTATTTTTATAAATGCCAAAAATTTCTGTTCTTTGTGGCACAGTTGCATTAATTTTGTAATAAGTCATGGGAAAGCCTTCCCCTACGGTACACAAATGCCTCATTTTAGCTTTGCTTCTTACCTCCACTCCCCTGAACCCACCTCTTCGGATTCCCGTTTTCTGCCCCACCACACCCTCATCCCCATCCAGGATTCCATCTCCCCACAGCACCTCCATCTCTGCCGAGGGGATGCAGCCCTTCAGCCTGGAGGCAGCCAGGGAAGCAGCCCAGAGGGATGTGCTGGCAGCAGATCTCCAGTGCAGCTTCTTTGCCTCTGCCCTGCAGAGCTACAAGCGGGACTCTGTGCTGAGGCCATTCCCAGCCTCCTATGTTAGCCAGGACAACAAGGACTTTGAGGCCCTGGTGAGTTCTTCCCAACCACTTGTCTCATTTTTTTCTTTTTAAGTGTTGTATTTATTTAATTATTTTTAAACATCATTGTTACTTCTCATTGACTTCCCTCCCTCTATAGAACCCTCCTTTTTAACAAATAAGTAGTCATGCAAAACAAACTCATCTACCATGTCTGAAAACCTGTGTCTCATTCTACACCTATTCTGCTTAGTACCTGTGTAATCTTGAACCCGTCACTTAACTTCCCTCGGCCTCCTGTTCCACAACCATAAAATGAGGGGGCTTCTGGGATCACTTCAAGCTCTAAATCAGTGATCCAGTGAAGCTGCTTGTCAAAAGGCGGAGGCACAGTTACCTCATTAATCACAGTTCTGAAGTTTTTCAGTGTTGTTTTCCCTTTGTGATCACCATGTAAAATTATTCTGTGTCTGCTTGCTTTGATTTACATCGGTTCATACAAGTCTTACCAATTCTCTGAATTCTTTGTAGTCATAATTTCTTATAACACAATAATCCATTATATTCATATACTACCATTTATTTAATTATTTTCCAATTACTGACCTTCCATTTGTCTTCTGCCCAAATGCTCGTGCCCTCTCCCTGTAAACTATCTTGTATTTTTCTTTTATATTCTGTATATAATAGTTATTTATGTATGTATATGTTGTCTACCAGAATAGAATGTGAATTGCTTGAAAGCAGGGACTGTTTCGTTTTTTGTTTTTGTATCCTAGACGCAAAGCAGTCTCATAATAAATACTTGTTGATTAGTTGTTTTCTGATACAAAACGTGCTTCTTATTATAAGTTGTGTACAGGACTTTCCCTTAGTCTGACTTGACTTCCTTGGGGTGTATGTCTAGAAGCAGTATCACTAGATCAAAGGGTATATACAGTTTAGTGACTTTTTTATAATTCTGAATAGTTTTCCAGAGAGGTTAGACCAATTCACAGGTCTATCAACGGTTTATTAATGTGCCTGTCTTCCCATCGTCCATCCAACGTTTACTGTTTTCAACTTTTGTTATCCTCTTTTCTAAGGAAAGTTCAAAGCTGTTATATTCTGTTTGCTCCTGTACCTTCCTGGGCTGTGGACCAAGTCCAGTTGCCCTGGCAGACTGTGGAAGGTGAAAGAGGCAGATGTGTTTATTACTCCAGGTCCCACCCTCCATTGGTAAATAATCTGGCCACCAAATTTCTATTCCGGGCCCTTGCTCTCATTGGATAATTTTCATGAGATAAATATATTTTTCCCTCAGGATCTGCTATTACAGCACATACTTAGATGTTTTAGGTTGTCAATGACACATCACATACTGCAGATTACCTAGTAGATAATTAAAAAAAAACAACAACATGGTACAGCAAATGCTTCTAGGTTAGTCATGGAGTAAGAAGTTCTGCTTAATCAGCTGTTCTGATGAATAGAAAACGACTATACTTGCATTGCCAGTTTACAAGCATTAAAGTCACGTTTAACATAATCTTTCTTTGATGATTTAGAAGGTAGTATGGCAAAGTAGATAGTCCTGTGTTTGAATCCTGCCTCTTACACTTACGAACGTTGTTATAGTATTACAGATGTTTGTGAGTGCTTGGCATGTATATGGTCCAAAACTATATCTCATCTGTTGGTGAATCTTTGTATCCCCTTTATTGCCACTCACACTAGGTTCTCTTCCTAGTGGGGAGATTTCTCATAGCAAAAGACTCTGCCTTTTAGGTGGAACTGCACTCACATCCCACCTTGTCCTTGTTCAGCACACACAAGTACACAGCTGAGCCATGTACTACAACGTGGAGGACTTTTAGGATACAGATTACATGTAATTGAAGGGTTGTAGGTACAGTTCATGTTATTCAATTAGTTTGATTTGAGTTAAGAGTGGAGAATCACCATGAGGGAAGGCATAAATTTCAAGTTTGAGAGTATCAAATGGGCCCTTCTAGACGTAGCTTATCCTTGTTCCCAGTTGGTCCAAAGCCCCTTTTGGTCCTGAGCTTTTGGATAATAATAATAATAATAATAACTGACATTTTTTTTTGTGGAGGGGCTAGGCATTGGGGTAAGTGACTTGCCCGGGTCACACAGTTAGTAAGTGTCAAGTGTCTGAGGCCAGTTTTGAACTCGGGTCCTCCTGACTCCAGGGCTGGTGCTCTATCCACTGCACCACCTAGTTGCCCCAATAACTGACATCTTAAAGTCTACAAAGTACTTTACATATTTTGAATATGAAGTTCTCAACAACTTGTAGATACTTAAGTTACTATTCTCATTTTGTAGGTAAGAGACTGAAACTCAGAAAGGTGAAATGTCTTGTCCTTTGTCACACAGATAGTAAATGGCAGAGATAGGGTTGGAATTCAGGCCTTCCTGACTACCCAGTCCAACACACTGCCCATGGTGTGGGTAAAGTAATTTATGCCTACTTTACTCTAGTTTCACCCTCTGGGTCCTTGGAAGAGTATGTTTTTTTCCCGGTTTTTTACCTTTCTCTAACTTTTGTCATTATCCTTTCTCTAGACATCCTTTAGGATGTCACTTTTTCTGTCTATGGATCAAATGAAAATGGATAAGTATAATAGTGTTAATGATTAGCACTATTTTAGACTCTTAAGAACTGGTAGGGAGGCTTTTAGATATCATTTAGTTCAGCCTCATACTGAGTGTAGGGACCCTATTTTTCCAGTATTCCTGATAAAAATAATCTACAAAGAATGGGTTATTTTCCTGGCATATAAGACAGCAGCCTGGTAAGTTTGTAAGGAAAGCAGTTTTTTGGGGTGGAATCGAGAGGTGAACTACATGGCAGATTATATTATTCTATTTTTTAAGAGACAGGGCAACCTGTAATTGTGTGTGATAGTTCTTCATTTCCTACCCTCAATTTGGTCAGAAGGAAAATTTGTAATTAGCTAAGCAATTAAGTAGGAATGCAGGCAGAACACGGCTTCCTGATTGGTTGAAACTCAGTTTAGGATTGTAGAACAGAGAATAAGCTCCATCAGGATTGCCCAGTTTCTGGTGGGGATGTTTTGGGGAGAAGATGACAGTCTTAGGTAGACAGGAATGGTGGTAGAACAGTATATGGACTCTGGATGACCTGGACCAGCCATTTCCACAGCCCATCCTGCCATTGGGTGGCAGGAAAACAGATCAACAGTGCCTGAGGCCACAGACCATTCCCTCCTGTCCTCAGCCAACACAGGTGCAGGATATTCACTGTCAGCTGGATTTTGACTCCTAGCTCTCTGCCTCTGCTGGTGGCATCTCAGAGTCCTGAACACCACACCTAACAGCCTGTAGTCTTGATGTTCAGTCTTTCTAACCAGCTTGCAGTCTGCCTGAGTTTTTGAAATTTTTTAGAGACGTCCCACCACAACTCAACCTGCCCTCATCACTTAGTGCTTTTCTATTCCATTAGGTTAAGAAGTTTGGGTACTTTTAATTTTGGAATTCAGTAGTTTAATATACAGTTTTAAAATTTACCTAGAGTGACTCCAAGGAAAGAGTAGATTCCAGATACTCATGCTGTGCCCTATAGATCCCATATACCATGGTGTTACCCACAGAAGAGGTGAAGGCAATTTGACTTTCAGGGAGGTAGGGCGCTAGCACGTGAAAGTGAAAGTGAAACTGTGTGTGGGGCTTCCAGAGTGCCTTTCAGGGATGTAAATTCCATTGCATTGGAGCAGGCCTCCCTACCTCTTTTGTCCTTGGATGTTTCCAGCCTTTGCTGAGAAGACATAAGAAATGGGGACATAGCCTTCAGGGCTTCACACTTACCTTTGGAAGAGTTCATTCTACTGTTGAGGGAGTGGTACAATTTGGAACTATACAAGGGTGTGCTGTACTCAACCATAACTGATCAGACCTAGGGTACCGAAAGGAGTTGGCACACTGCACTTTGCTGCAAATACTTGTGGAATCTAATTGAATTGGACATATTCTCTTTTTTTGCCCTATTTCTTCCTTTCCATGAATTGAGTCCATAGCCTCTGCTTTCAGATTCCCTAATTTACTTTTTTCACAATGACTTTTTTTTTAGTTATTGTAGCTATGTTTCCAGTGACTTTTCAGGAAATGGAAGTATTCTTTTGAGATGCTGATCAGTGGATTGCTATACGTTACAGAGCTCACTGTGGTTTTATTAGCTTCAGCTACTCTTGAGAATTTCCAGGCATTTCCTACTCTATGTTATCCCACACATCCTCTTAACTTTCTTATAAGGGACAATGGGAATATGCTATTCATTTTTCAGATTTGAGTAACTGAAGGACAGAGCCAAGGTCCTTCAGCCAGTGTACTTGACAGAGAGGGGAGCTTGGTCTTCTATTGCCTCTAGAGTGGGCCATAGAGCAGCAAATTCCCAAATCAAAATTTGTTTTTTCTAATTTAGTTGGCAATTATACCACAAAATTGTTATATCAGAAAGAGGACTGTATTAGGAGTCAAATGATATGAGTTCTAATCTTGGCTGTGCTCCCTGTGTGACCTTGGAAAAGTCTCAAAATTGCTTCTCTCTGAACCTTGGCATCTTTAATTCTAAAATGAGGGAATTGGACTTGATCAGGAATTCTTAACTTGGAGTCTGTGAGCTTATTTTAAAAAATTATAATTGTACTTCAATATAGTATTTCCTTTGTAATTATATATCTTTTTTTTATGCATTTAATAACGTTGTCCTGAGGAATCCATAGACTTCAGCAGACTACTAAAAAGGTCCATGAAACAAAAAAAGCTTAAGAACTGCCGAACTAAATGATCTCTTTCAAATCTAGAGTTCTATGATTTGGAGGCTTTGTTTTGACCATCATGGTCATTTAGCGTTTTGCTTTATGGTGGTACCCTCTTTCCTTGTTTCTTTCAGATCTTGGAGGAAAACCCTGATTTTTTGGTTCTTGGAATGGCATTTCTTTGTCTCTTACCATCTTCTCTTTTTCTCTGATCTATTAGCCTTGAGTACCTTTTCAAGATTGAGTCTTTGATCATTTGTATGTCTGCATTCATATTCATTTCCTTCTAGTATTCATCTACTTGAATAGTGTGGTAATTGTAAAATGAATCATCTCTAATTTTGGTAAACTGTAGTTTTTACATGCTGGATTTGCCTTTAAGCTAGGCATAGATATATGATCATCAAATCTATGTCTCCAGTTGTGATCTGTCACTTTCTCCAGGTGTTTCCAGTTGAATGTCCCAACAACCCCTGAATTTAATCTTCTTCCTCAAATTTCCTGTCTTAAGGGGTCAAGAAGAGAATGAGGAACCAGAGAATGAGTAAGTTAGAGAGGTAGGAGAACCAGGAGAGAGCCAGGTTATCTGTGAAGCCAAGGGAAGAGAATATTAGGAGGAGAGGCTGTGATCTACAGTCAGAACCTGTGGAGAAGGCAAGGAGGATGAGGTCTTAAAAAAGGCTATTGGGTTTGGTGACTAGAATGTCTTTGGTATCTTTAAAGAGAACAGTTTCAGCAGAATAGTTAGGGTAACAATCTTATCACAAGAGATTGGGCAGAGAGCAGGGGGGAAATGGGGACATCTGATAAAGATGTCTTTTTCAAAAAGTTAGGTGGTGTGGATGGGGAAATAGGGGTGGTGGTGCAGAGAGGAAGTAGCAAGCAGCCGGATAAAACAGAATAACCCTTGGAGCTAAGTGCCATTATTATCCCCATTTTATAGGGCTAAGACTCAGAGAAGTTCTGGTCATTTAACTAGTTAATTGTCTTAGGTGAGATTTGACCCCAAGCCCAGCCCTGCCTCAAATGTCCTTCCCCATTGTCTTAGTCAATAAAAACTCTATCAATCCTTCAAGACCCAGGTCAAAGCACATTCTTCTGTGGTCTTCTCTCCCTAAAATGATTTATCTTTCTACAGTTCTCTTATTGTTCACATGATTAATTTTACAGTTGATTATATAAATCCCTTGTGATATCTATTACTGTCTTGAACTATGACTTGAATCTGGTAGAGTTAATTTTTTGTATGATTTATGCTTAACTAGATTGGAAGCGCTTAGATTGCCTTTGTATTCCCTTCAGAGTTAGCATAGTGCCTAGTATGTGTTCAGTAGCACCCTCTCCCATCTCTACATAACCTTTAACAGCTCTAATTGTCCTTTGTACCACAACTTTATGCCTTACTTTGCTGTCTGCCTTTTGCTGCCTCTGACATAACATTCATGTGTCTCAGAACCATTTCATATACCATTTCTCTGTTTCAGTATTGCCTTATACTTAGGCATGCATCTACCTCCCATGTGATTTGTGGTGTGATTGTACTGTCATATAGGGGAATTGAAACAATTTCCCTGTTCTTACAGTCATCTGCTCTTTAAAAAATTTATTTGTTGTGAACCTAGCAATCAGTCTATCCAGTTAGCACAAGAAATATTTCCCATGGCAATATGTTATTTTCATATATTTATTATTGTGGGGTGCCAGAAGGTCCTAATGTCTCCAAAATACCTTCCCTACTGGTTTTCCATCCTTCTTGAAATTATACTATTAAAAAAGACTCCTTTGGGCTCTATCTTCACATAATGAAATCTGACTGGCCTTTTAAAGCTGAATTTAAATGCCATCTTCTCATGAAGTTTTCCCTCATTTTTCTCCCTCCCTATCCCATGCCACCTCCTGGTAGAATTGCTCCTTTTTTCTGAACTCTAAGAGTTCTTTGTACCTTAATTATATCATTTGTCACATTCCTACACTGCATGTAGTTATTTGTGTACATGTCTTACCTCCCTACTGAATTGTAAGTTTCAGAAGGGGTGGGGACTGAGCACCTTACATAATATTTTACAGTTCCATGCACACAGTAGGTATTTAGTAAAAATTTGTTTAATTTAATAGACCCTGTAGTGGATAAGGAAAATCTGTGTAGCCTGAGGGTAAAACAGGATAGATCTAAGTGCAACCAAACTTTTATATTAAAGGGAACAGTCTCATATGTATTTAAAATTTGCTTGCCTTCATATATTGGAGACTTCCCTATTCTTGTTCTAGAGATCCTGTGATGAACATATTTTACCTTTGGGAGGTGGAGAAAGCCTTCATCTAGGGACCAAACTACAAGATGTTAAGGAGAGATTTAATACATCTTCTATTGGTACATTTTCTTGATTGAATTAATCCAGGACAAGACTACAAATGATTAACTGAAATACTAACTCATGTATTGGCTGACACACATTGGGAACTACAAGATATAAACAAGATGGGTGGGCTGGACAGTGTGTATATAATAATTTTGTTTTTGGACGCCTGAAGCATTAGCTGCGTGGCACTCACTACTCACCACAAATATTAGAAACCTCAAATTATAAAACCATAAATCAGGAGATTTTCCTGTAGTTTCTGCAACAAGATTCTTTATTCTATGATAAAGTCACTCTTGCCTGTGAACTATTCCTGCACAAGAAAGGCACTGAACAAGAGTCAGAGGTGAGGCTTTGATCCCCAAGTTGAATTCTGAAGGGTTATAGCAACAAAAATGGTGAGTGATGGATGATAGGAGTCTTCTGACTTTTTTCATCACATTAAGTCCTTTCTTTCAAAACTGTTCAGAACCCTCACCTTCTTTGAAAGTCCACCTCTAGTCTATTTGATAGAATACTTGATTATGTTTCTGTTACTTGTGTTTTGGCAATATGATGTTTTCGTGATTCATTCACCTCTTTGTATTGATCAGTATTCAATCATTTATCAAGTATCTACTATAAGTAGAGCACTAATTAGATGCTATGGTTAATACAAAATTATAAGGCAGTCTAGGGGCTCCTCAAGGTGCCTGTGATCAAATTGGGAGATATGTCTAACAGTACTAAATAACATATGCAAGGTGTGAAATGAGTGGTACCGACAGGTCCTAAAGGAGTTCTGGGGAGGGAGAGATCAATGGGGGATGCTTATGGAATTCTTCACAGAGAAGATGGGATTTGGATTGGGCTTTGAAGGATAGAAGCGATTTGGATAGATTGGGGAAGAGAAGTAAGCATTTCAAGTGAGGGGGAGCATAGTGAGCAAAGGCATATAGGCAGAAAAACAGTAATCATATTTGGAGAGAGTGAATAGAATATATTTATGTGTGCACATATAGTTTTTGTAAGATTGTAAATTCCGGGGACAGCTAGGTGGTGCAATGGATAGAATACTGGCCCTGGAGTGAGGAGGACCTGAGATCAAATCAAGCCTCAGACACTTGACACTTACTAGCTGTGTGTCTCTGGGTAAGTCACTTAACCCCATTGCCAAGGAGAAAACAAAACAAAAAAAAAAAAGGTTGTAAATTCTGTAAGGACAGAGGATAACCCTTATCAGTCTGTTTCTGTCCTCACGTAATCTAATATAGGACTTTGCTTATTAAACGTGCTGTTTCCAAAGTTTAATTATAATTTTGTTATCTTATATTTATATGACACTTTAAGAATTATTAAGCTTTTCACAGTAGAGCTGTAAGATAGGGAGAAAGAAATAAATGACAAATTCTAAAATGTTGATAGTTTTCAATATTAGAGACCTAAGAACCAAGGAAAACCCTTTTTACGGTTTTCATTCTTAATGAAATTAACTTATTGAAAAAGTGGAATAGAATCAATGGGTAAATATTTACTGATCACTTGGCATGTACAAAGTATTAGGGGAATGCAAAGGTATGAAATATAGTTACTAATTTCAAGAAATTTAAAATATCGATAGACAAAGAATACCAACAGGAACAGAAAAAATATTAAACAATATAAAGCAACATGTGATGAAGATAATAATAGGGTCATGGTACCTTAGATGCTATCTAGATCAACCCCCTCATTTTACAGATGAGGAAACTGAGGCTCCAAAAGGTTAAGTGATTTATTACTACTATACCAATAGTAATAAGTGACAAAGGTAGTATTTGAACCCAAATCTTCTGGCTCCAAATTCAGTACTTTTCCCTCTATACCACACTGTCTCTGTTAGTATCAAGTAGTATTATAGAAATAAATGTAAAGCAATTCAGAAAAGAGATCACTGAGGCCTTGGGGTGAGAAGTAGTCAAGGAAACTTCATGGAGGAAGTGGAATTTGGGCTTGACTTTGAAGGGTTTGCAGGAATTAGGTCTTCTGTGAGGAAGTGGGAACAGTCTGAGCAAAAACAGGGTTGGAGAAGCGTGAGGTATGTATATAGGAGACAGTGTTCCGTCTAGAGTAGAGGCTAGGTCTAGGGAAATGGTTGGAGAAAAAATGGGAAAGGTATTTGAGTTATGATGCCAGGCTAAGGAGTTTGGACCCTAGCCAGGTATTCCCTCTTATCAAAAGGCAATGAAAACTACTGATGTTTTTTATTCCTTTTGGGAAAATAATTTTGACATGAGAAATGAAATTTTATTTCATTGCCACTAGAGGTCTCCCTGTTGTCATGTTTCCTGAGCTATATTCCTTAAAAAGAATAACCCCTTTTTTCTTTAGCTTGAAGATGCCAGTATGCTGCCAAACCTGAAGGAACTTCTCCAGTGTGCAGATGACAAAGATAAAAGGGCATGGAATCTGGTGAGCTGGATTTTATCATCAAAGATTCTTACACTACACAGCATAGGGAAAACAGAGGTAAGATTTTAGTGTTTATAGTGACAGATTTCTAGGACTGAAAGGGACCTTTAAAGATCACCTCATTCAATTCTTTCATTTTATAGGTGAAGGAAACAGAGACTTAAAGAGGTTAAGGGATTTGTGCAATGTCACACAGCTACTTAGTGGTAGAGGTGGGATTAAAAGACTTAAGATTTTAGACTTCTTGACTCTATATTTAGTCTCCTAGACTTCTTTTAGGGAGGTACCATGTCTTCCCTCTGTTCAGTAAACTCCAGTGGCTTCCTCTCATCTCCAGGATCAAACATCAGATCCTCTGTTTGGTGTTCATAGCCCTTCCTAACTGGGCCCCTCCCTATCTCTCTAGTCTTCTTACATTTTATACCACCCCATGATGTGCTGTGTGATCTAGTGACACTGGCTTCCTTGCTGCTCCTCACATGAGACATTCTACCTCCCAATTCTGGATATTTTCTCTCACTGTCTCCCATGCCTGGAATGCTTTGTCTCCTCGTCTCTGCCTCCTGGTTGACCTGGCTTCCTTCAAGTCCCAGCTAAAATTCCACCTTCTATTGGAGATCCTTCCTGATCCCTCTTAATTCTAGTGCCTTCCTCTGTTGATTATTTCCAATTTATCCTGTATATAGCTTATTTCTATATATGTAGTTGTTTACAATGTGGTCTTCTCCATTCGACTCTGAGCAGCTGGAGAGGACAGATTGCCTTTTACCTTTGTGTTACCAGTGCTCAGCAGAGTGCCTTGCACCTAGTGGGTTCTTATTAAATTGACTGTGTAGTTAGTCTGCTCAACTTGGAGTCAGTTAAGAAGACTGAAATTTGATGGTTGTGTCCAGTACTTACTGAGTGACCATGAACAAGTCAGATTACTTCTCTGAGCCTCAGTTTCCGACCTCACAGAGTTGTTGTAATGCTCAGTTGTGATAACATATATAAAGCACTTTGGAAACCTTGAAGCCCTATGTAAGTGAAGTTAAATAAGCTTTTATTAAGGGCTTACTAAGTGCTTGACTATGGTAAGCACTAGGATTAAAAATAGAAGCAAAAAGAAAGACAATCCCTTCCCTCCAGGAGCTTACATTCTAATGGGGAAAGAAAACACATAAAAGGGAGCTAGAAAGACTAGATGGAGAAGTCAAGAGAGCCCGAGACAGTGGAGCCAGGGAATGAGAAAAGGAGTGAGCATGGCCATCCTGGGCATATCCTCAAAACAGATTCTAGGAAGAATTCATGAGGAGGAGCGGGGTGCTGCAGGAGTTGCTGCTGGGGAATAGTAGGGAAATGCCAGTTGTTCTTATTCTCACTTAGCCATTATCTAGATCAACTCCTTTATTTTACAGATGAGGAAACTGAGGCTCCAAAAGGTTAAGTGATTTATTACTACTATACCAATAGTAGTAATAAGTGACAGAGGTAGTATTTGAACCCAAATCTTCTGGCTCCAAATTCAGTACTTTTCCCTCTATACCACACTGTCTCTGTTAGTATCAAGTAGCATTACAGAAATAAGTGTAAAGGATCATAATCTCATTTGCTGTGCTACACAGAGCTACTTTGAATGAGTGCAAGAGTTTCTCTTCACACAACGTTATAAAGTGCTTGATTAATTCTAATTTAAGAGTATAAAGTGTTGCAAAGGCTCTATTGAAAGACAGGCATCTTTCACAATTGGAGTAGAAACTTGGACAGTATTTCTAATGTTGGCTAGTAATATAATGGAAAAGAGCACTGGACTAGTTATCAGGAGACCTTGGTTTTAGTCCTGGCTCTGCCACTATCTAGGGTCATGATCTTTGGCAAATGACTTAATTTCTCTAGGCTTTAGTTTCTTCATTTCTCAAATTGAGACAATATTGCTTATCCTCCATACCTTAGAGAATAGTATTGAAGATCAAATGAGGTAATAGATGTGAAAATCTGTTATTAATATTTCTTTAGTTCATTTTTTTTCTGGCAGACTGGGTAATTAGAGAAAAGAAATCTTGAAATGGTAGCTTTTTAATTCTTTTTTTCCAGTTTGATATATTTATTTTGATGAAAACATGTTCTTATGTATAAATTCCAATACAGTTTAAAATAAGAGGAGTTGTGATAGCATTTGTTTTGTAATACATTTTGATAGCTTCCCAAATAACACTGAACATTCCTTTATATTTTTAAGTATGTGAAGATCCAAGAACTCATGGGAATTTCAGGCACTAGTGTCCCTGCACCTGACTTTCTGTTTGAAATAGTGTATTCTGGTCAAGTGGATGCCAAATTTTATGAGACCAAAGGAGAAAGGGATCTTATCTATGCATTCCATGGGAGCCGCCTGGAAAACTTCCATTCCATCCTACATAATGGTTTACACTGTCACTTAAACAAGGTAAAACTTTCAGGGGAATTTGAAAATATGATGGGTTAAAACCATGGCAAGGCCATTAAAGAGAGGGACACACCACCCTGACCAGTGCCAAGGCTGTTTCCATCTTGGATTTCCAGCTCCCTTTTGCTTCCATAGAGGAACCACCTGTCTGCCTCTTCTAGGGTGGGAGGCTTGCTCTGTCCTGCTGGGAAAAGGCCCAGGGCCAGAACATTGTTTTTCAATGGTGAATCTTAATCACTATTCTTTCCTACTCCTTAGGGCATTTGCACATTTTAAGCCTTATCTTTTAGTGGAATGAAAGATTGTTCTTGTTAGACGATTTTCAGAGATCAGCCTGGTGGGTGGGCTAGATTGGTTACTTTGTTGAGGCTGGAGTGGGAGAAGACCTTAGTGCCACTAGGTTACCTGGTATGCATAAGGATTTTGCATAAGACCAACCCAGCACACTCTTATGTCTAGTCTGAAGCATTGTTTTCCAGAACTCTGCTGTGTCTAATTAATGTGCTATGTTTAGATTGAAGATGAAGAACTTGTTTACTCTGGATTCTCAAATGCATAGCTTTGCTACTGAAATCCAGGTGGCCCCAGCTTTACAAAATGGTTGGGCTCCTGTAAAGTTAAATCCTACTTTAAACATACTAAGGGAACTTACACTTTGAAAGTAAATCCTTTTGTGAAGCTAAGACTCCCCTTGTAACCTGTTTTTTGTCTAAACCTGGATTTTCATTTATCACATTTACTTAAAGGAGGGCCCATCTCTAGCTCTGATCTGTCGAATTATTTCCATGGCAGATGTACCACAAGTTTTCAAATCACACACAGCTGTGTTGGAGCCCAACAGTCTTGCAAAAGATCTACAATTTTGTGATAGGTGTGGCCATTATAGACTTAGCCCAATAGTGATTATGGGGTTGTGGAAAAAAAAGATTTGTTTTATTAGCCGGGGAAAAATGTATGTTGGCTAGGGTACATGAAAGATAGGGAAGCTTCTGAATTCAATAATGAGGATGTGATTGTTAAAACAGTGGCATAATTAACTCTTCTTATAAGCTTTACTGGACAAATGGAAAAGATTCAGGTTCATGAAAAACTCACTATCAAAAAGATGATTTCTAATAAAGGGACATGAATTCCACTCTTTTTAAAAAATATTTTTTCCGATTACACGTAAAAACAATTTTTAACATTTGATTTAAAAAATTTTTGAGTTCCAAATTTTCTTCTTCCTTGTCTCCCTTTCCCCCTCATTGATAAGGCAAGTGATTTGATATAGGTTATACGTGTGCAGTCATACAAAACACATTTCCATATTAGTCATGTTGTGAAAGAAAACACAGACTAAGAAAAAAAACCCAAGAAAAACAAAGTTTAAAAAAATATGCTTCAATATGCATTCAGACTCCATCATTTTTTCTTTGGAGATGGAGAGCATTTTTCATATAAGTCCTTTGGAATTGTCTTGGATCATTGTCTTGATCAGAGTAGCTAAGTCATTCACTTTAATTCCACTTTTATTGCTAATTTGGTATATTTGGGGGTGGGCACATTATTTAGCTTCTCTGAACTTCTTTTTCTTGACTTAACATATACACTAATGGTAACCAACTTCATGGGACTTTTATAAATAATAATAATAACTACATGATTGTGAGAGGGATCCTGTTAATTTACTCTTTTGGCAGGAAATGTGGGCCTTAACAGTTTTTGTGAGAGGCCACTTAAAATTATCTTTTAGAGAAAGATGTATCCTACAACTGTACCACCTTTAGACTTCGAGTCAATTGAGTGTGTTTCTTTTTTTATTTGACTCTGCCCTTCTAGACATCCTTGTTTGGTGAAGGGACCTACCTTACCAGTGACTTAAGCCTGGCTCTTCTTTACAGTCCTCACGGTATGGGGTGGCAGCACAGCCTCTTGGGTCCTATCCTAAGTTGTGTGGCATTGTGTGAGATCATCGACCATCCAGATGTCAAGTGCCAAACCAAGAAAAAGGGTAAGCGGACAGCACTGGCCAAAGCTAGGGCCTGTGACTTTGGGCCATCTCCAGACTCTGTGAGAGCCCATAGTAGGCATATCAGTTAGTCTTTAGGTGTTTATGGGATGTTTACTATGTGCAAGATATGGCGCCACGTGAAGTGAAAGATACAAAGAAAGAGATGATATATTCCTTGCCATTGAAGAGCTTAGAGCTTCTTCAGTAGGAAATAAGACATAATACATGGGGAAAAAATAAACAATAATATAACCAGTCAGTAAGTTAATAGTACAAAAGGTCATAGGGGCTCAGAGGAGATATTATTGTTGCTTGGGATAGATCAGGGAAGGCTTCTCAGGATAGGTGAAGTTTGATATATGAAGGTGGGTATATGAAGCAGAGGAGCTATAATTCAGGATTTCTCCTGCCAGGCTGCCTAAAAACTCTAGAGTCCCAAAGACAGCAGTAGGAAAAGGTTCAGGCCAGGAATTCAGTTGTAAGAAAAACAGTAGTCAGGTAGACATATTGGGTTTAAACTCTGGGTCATCTCCCATACTAAGTGGTTAATTGTATCTTCTTTCACTCTGAGTATTTGTGAACCATGTTATTGCTCACCCCCAAGATTTCATAGCCATAATATGCCAGTAATTGCTTCACAAAACCAGTAATGGATAAAGTGTGATCATCCTGTTCTCCACAGATGAGCCTATTGGGTCCATTGAGAAAAGAGTACCCAGAAATGCTCTCTGTTCCATTGCCTTAATCTAAAACAGCTGGCATACCAAAGAACAGACCCACGTCTGACACTGCTCACCCAGACCATACAGCACGGAATAGTTGCATTTATAATTCTTGGAGAGATTGCAAACCGTTGACAGTTAAACATCAAAACAACCGTTTCAAGTCTCTACACTCACACATCCACGTCATCTTTTAGCTTTGCAGCGCTGCCAGTAGGCTGGAATTGTTTCAAGGATAGAAAATAAGTAGCTACCTTAGAAAGTTATCACCTTGAGCTGTAATATAAAAATGTCAATTTTATAGACATCAATTAACAACTGTTTATTAAGGTCCTAGTAGGTGCCGGGTCTTGTGCTAGATAGTGGGAATACAAAGACATAAATAGGATTAAATCAAAATTTTCAGTAGCATTGCAGTTGGGGTAGGGGTGAAAATACTTCTTTTAAATCAAGTTTCAGGGGCAGCTAGGTGGCGCAGTGGGTAGAGCACCGCCCCTGAAGTCAGGAGGACCTGAGTTCAAATCCGGCCTCAGACCAAACACTTGTCACGTACTAGCTGTGTGACCTTGGGCAAGTCACTTAACCCCAATTGCCTACCCAAAAAAAAAACCAATAAAAAAATAAATTAAGTTTCAGTTTTTGGCAGTCCATGGTATCATTGTCATTTTTAGCTCATACTATCTCTTTTCTGACTTACCTCCATTTCTGTTTTCCCTCTCCCTACCTGTTTATCTCCTTTGGCCCCAACTGTAACTGTTCCTGTATGTCTTTCTTTTCCTGTTTCCCTATAATACTCTCTCTTTCTCTCTGATAGTTTAATTTGATTTTTCAGTTAATAAAAATCTATTTTATCTTCTTCTTATCTGTGCCCTCTACATTTCGAGAGAAAGAGAGAGAACCCTCATAACAAATAGCCAAGCAAAACAAAATCTCATATTGACCATGTCCAAAAAACGATGTCTCGTTCCATACCTTGAATCCATGATCTGTCTGTCAAGAGATGGATAGCAGGGCAGCTAGGTGGCGCAATGGATAGAGCACCAACCCCAGACTCAGGAGGGCCTGAGTTCAAATCCGGCCTAGACACATAACACTAGCTGTGTGACCCTGGGCAAGTCACTTAACCCCATTGCCTAGCCAAAAAACAACAACAATAACAAAAAAGAGATGGGTAGCATGCTTCATCAGTCTTTCGGATTCTTAGTTGGTCATTGTATCAATCAGAGTTCTTACATCATTCATAATTGTTTGTCTTTACAATATTGTTATAGGTTAGAACGTTTTCCTAGTTCTCACTTCACTCTACACCCGTTCATTCAAGTCTTCTGAAGCTTCTCTGAAACCATCTCTTTTATCATTTCTCATGTCTGACTAGCTCTCTCATTTCTTTTTCAACTCTTCCTGCTTTCCCCACCCATACCTACAGCTTATTTCTAAGTCCCACCAAGGGCATCTTCAGGTATTACTGGACCATATTGAGACCCTGGAAACTAACAAGGCTTCTGAGTTTATGTCTGCTTATTTCTTACCTTCAATAAAGTTTTTCTTGGCTTTTCGCACTTTGGTTGTTTTCTTCTTTTTCAGATTCAGAAGAAATAGATAGAAAAAGAGCGAGAGCCAAACATAGTGAAGGGGGAGATGTCCCACCTAAATACTTTGTTGTTACCAACAACCAACTTTTACGAGTAAAATATCTGTTAGTTTATTCTCAGAAACAACATAAGAGGTAAGAAAAAAAGATTTACTGCTTGAGGTGTGGTTAAAAAAAAAACTGTGAGTTCATTTAGCAACAAATTGGTTTTATTCGACAGAATGTCTGTGGTACGGGCAGTGACAGAAACCAGTTTAGGAAGAAATTTAAAGACTTGGGAGTTGCTTGAAGCACTAATGACTCCACTTTGCTTGTGGCCTCTTCATCTGATGGCTTAAAAGCACATGATTTTCTCCCATAGAAAATTATTGTGATCTCCTATCTATACTTGCCTTCTTCCTATTTCTCCCAAAGCTCAGAAACATAGGGACCCCTGGGTGTCCACTGCAGTTCCAGTAGTGATCAATTTCTTGGAATCAAAACATGATTTCCCTGGCTCAAGCTTATGTAGGTAGGCACTTAAAACTGGAGGCAGTTGATAGGAGTATCCTGATGATTGTTCCTCTCTAGGCAGATGCTAGAATATCTTTTGTTTCAAGAAATTAAACCAGGGGTTTGCTTAAGGAAAGATGGGTCAAGAAAGGTAAGAGGAAAATGAGGTCATTGCTGTTGCTATCTTTGTACATTTAGAAAATGTACTGTTGAAAGCAGCTCTAGGGCCAGGGAACGCCAATATGCCCCAGATTTCTCTGGGTGAAGGAGCACAGAGAAGTATAGCCCTGAGGCTCACTTAGCAAGTGCAGTTTATCACGGTCATTCTTTTGGCCAAAAAATACTGAATAGCTATAAAAAAATGTTTTTATCTCTCTCTCCCCCTCCCTTTTTGTTTTTTTAAACACAGGGTCTCAAGCCAGCCCTCCTGGATTTCTAACCATCGCTTCACTCTCATGATGGTCCTGTATCTGCTATTGCTGATCATTATAGGTGTCAGCAACTCTCCCTCTTTCTTGCACTACTGGAATCGAGCATTGGAGTCAAAAAGATAAACTTACCTGGCTCAGCAGGATAGCCTCTGTCATATGCCTTAGTACCTCCTGATCTATCAATTCCTGCACCTCCACCTAGAACTCTGGGCTAGAGGCTAAGGAGGGGCAGTGATTGGAACACTGCAAGACACCAGAGATTTTGACGGCCTTCTGATGCTCCTAGAGAACTTTTTTGCTTCCTAATTGGTAACATTTTGGAGGATCGTGTCAGTTGGTCGCACTCACTCAAGATTTCAGGATCACTTTGCTGTTCTCTCTGTCCTTAGCAGTTCTGAGAAGCTGACTTTTTAGCAGCGGCCAAAGGAAGAAGCCTGCTGTATTGAAAAAGAAGGTGTCCAGGCTCTCGGCAATATGTTTACAATTGCCTCTGGCAGAAATCCTTCCTTTCTAATGCCTTTGGAAGGTGGAAAAATATGTTGTGTAAGGTATAAATCATCAGGCAGTTGGCTTGTTTTGACTCGAAATGTTACAGAGGAACAATGATGTTTCTCACGAAATGGGGGGGGTTGTTTTTGATTTATAAATTTTGGCTTTAGACTTCTGAATGTGACAACAAAAACTTCAGTGGTTTTAACCATTTTCTTGACTATCTAGAAACAGCTTTTGCAGCAATGGTGCACTCATTCATTAATTTGTCAAATTATAGAATTCATAGCTGGAAGGGGCTTTAGAGAGTCCAGCCCTTTCATTTTACAGATGAGGCAACTAAAGTTCAAGCTTGTAATGATTTACCTGTGATCCAACAAGTGTGAGCTAGGTTTTGAACCCATGTCCTCCGACTTTAGATCCAGGGTTCCTTCCACCACATTCTACTGCCTCCCAGGATGCTTTCATTCATGTATTCAGATAGCAAACATTTCTGAAGCACCTATTCTGTAGAAGATATGAATGGATGAGAAAGAAAGGTTTTTTGATGTTATCGGAGCCTCACAAGAGAAGATTACTTACTTATATCCATCTTTTAAATCAAGGAACTGAATGTTTAAAAAATAATGACTTGACAATTTGGCAACATCTTTGTGAATATGTTTCTACATAGTGATTCATTTGGCCAATGTCCACACCACACAGCCTTTTGACTGTTTTTAAGAAAAGAAACCCAGCCATGGGCTTGCCCATCTCACGAGATGGATTTGACATGCCACAAATAAGCCCCATGGAATTTGGACAAACATGTCCTAAATGAGAGCCTTTAATGATAAGTGTTTTATTTTTAAATTTATCACACGTCCATATGTAGTCTTATTTGGAGGAGCATTTGATTTTTGGTGTGCTCCTTGTCAGTACCTGTGTGTGCTGTTTTACATGGAGAAGAATCCCATGGATGCCAGGATAGCAGTTCCATTTGTTGCTGTATGTATTATCATTACTTGCTTTCTATTAGGTATCCAATTTGGTTTAAATAAAACATAACACTATTTTTTCCAGTTGGTGGTTTAATACATATATATGTATACAAACATATATATAATGACATATATATGTACGTATGTATACAAATATATATATGCAAGCAAATGTGATTTTCTGTAAAAATAAATAAAATTGGTTTTCTATTATTTGTTCGCTATCAACATTTTTACACTGAGGATTGGAACATTCAAATTTCCAAATTACATGACAGGCAGTATGGTGCAGCAGAAAGAGAGCTAGCCCCAGAGGCAGGAAGCTGCGGTTCAAAGTTCTGCCTCTGACACGTACTAGCTGTGTGACCCTGGACAAATCACTTGGCCTAACCCATCTAGTTTTTTAGCAGAGAGGTAAGGAATGGCCATGAGGTACGGAATCTGGAGAAGTACAATTCCAGGGCTAGGATATCTAGTCTTTGTTATTTCATCAGATGATCATAGGCTAAATTACAGGGTTGTTGCAGTTACTAATTTAAAATTGTTGAAAAAAGGAGGCGGTTGAGTCACTTGTGGGGTCCATGTGCTAGGTGTCTTGTGCTGTATACTCTGGTAGGAAGAAGTTTAGGGATAGAAACTGAGGCCCCAGCTTGTCACAGGTGCATCAGTGCAAAGTGGGGAACTCCTAAATGGCACTGGGCCTGTGCTTATGTGAGTTAATGGTTACTTGTATGGTAGGCTCAGCAGGGTATAAAAAGGATCACCTTGTTCCAAAATATTCCCCTCCCACCTTGATATGGTGTGTGAAATCCTCATCTGGTAAAGGTAATGTATTCCCATGAAATATTAAATTGGGGAAAGAGGTCTTAAGAGGAAATCCCTTAAGCTTTAGCACTTTAACAGGATAATTTGTTGCCATTTTGGAAAGATGAACAGATCTCTTAGGGAATTGAGACACAGGATAGGTAAGTTTTGATGTGGAGGGGGAATTGCAGGGGCGGGTGATTCTAGGGATAGATGGTTTGGGTGGGGCCTGGACACAAGGGGTCGAGGGAAGCCCAGGGTTAAAGTCAAACTTGCCTAGCTTCACTGTTTTGCCTTCCATCATATCTTCAGCTTAGATGTAGACGAGCCATCCCCCAGTTCAGCTTTTTGTGGACGTGTTTTTCTGGGCTGCCAGAATCCTGGGGTTCTTCCACTCTAGCCAGAGTGTGGGTGGCAGGTATGAACTGATCACGATCTATTATCTCCTAAAAAGGGGAGGGTTTCTTTTCAGGTGTGTAATTGGAGAAGGAAGAGTTCTACAATGGGCTGCTGATTATTCATTTTCTTAATAGATCAAAAATATTGATCAGTTGATCAAAAATTCTGCACAGATGACCATAAAACTTGGGGAGCCAGAGGAAGGCAGGGAGTTTTCCATTTTATGAAAGCCAGAAGACCTTTTTATTTCAGAATGTTGTCCCCTTCCCACTCCAACCCATCCAAGCCCATTCCCACTGCAAAGGCCAGAGGTTTGTGTTGGCCCTGATATTGGTTACACACCCTCTCCGTTGCTATGGTGATCTTTTGGACTCGGGGATGAGATTCCACTCAGTTCATCCTATGAAAACAGTTCTCCCTGAAGTACCCCCCCCCAGCACACAACACAATTCTGCTCTTCCCATCCCTCCATTCCATCCCGCCACCCCACTCCCTGAATTTTCCATCTGCCCTCTATTATTTGTTTTCTCCTTTGTCAATCTTCCTCTAGATGGATTTTTGTTTATTTCAAAACTAACTTGGGCTCAGCACCACGGAGACAATGTACTGTGCAGTCTGGTTAGAATAATCCGCTTCCTTCACATGCATCTTAGACCTGACATTTGACTCATCCAAACAAATCAGACTGTCCCAAGATGGGATACAAAACCAAACTAGCATTATCACCCGCTCTGTCTGGTGTCTTCATTCACCTTTAAAGATTTTTTAAGATAGACTTGCATTTCCCAGCTTATGGGACCAAGGCCCAACACAGGGTGTATGAAAGTGGGGGAAGGGAGGGAAGGAAAGAGAAAGAAGAGAGAAATCCCAGGAGTGACAGTTCTATTAAAAGGCAAAGTAGCAAAATAGATGGCATCCATTTCAACAAATTAGATTGTAAATAGACCTTCATGGCAACATGGGTGGTTTAAAAGTTTCAAGGGATGTAGAATTTCTCATTTGGTTTCTGGAGGGCTAAATAGACCACCATCAAATCCCTCTTCTACTGATTCCTGGAATTTCTTTAAAGGGAGGCAAAAAGTTTTCATTCCACAATTAGAAGCAAAGTTTTAAATATAAATACCAACTTTGGGAGAGGAGACAGATTGAAAATCTTACCGAGGTGTAAATGACTGATATGGTTGATTCCCTTTCTGAGAGCAAACTTTGGTGGCAGAGAACACCAGGGCACTGGGGACAATAGGGCAGGAAGGAATACCGCTGAATGGGGAAAAGAGCACACTTGTTGACATGCTGAGTCTTGATGGCAAACTTTCCTTGAGAGTTTTGCTCACTTAGGCCACTGATGACAGCGCTACTCAGAATTACTAACTTTCAGCTTTGTGATAACTAATATTAAAGCAGCAATTGTGGGTACACATTAAGTCATACCTCATTAATTCATACTAGAAGAAGGGAGCAGGGAAGGTTCAAGTGAGGAGGTCAGTCTTAATTAAGGAAAAAACTCCAGTGTCTATGATGCTCAAAAAGATACCTGATTTGATGACTTTAAAACTGGGCTAACCAAGTGTTGCCTGGCTCTAATGAACAGATGAGAGTGATTTGTAATTAGCATATCCCTTAAAAGGGGTGCTTTAAAATTACTTTTGGGGGATTTTTAGTAGTTTTTAAAAATTATGAACTCACTCAAAGACAAAAATTGTCCATGAAACTGAACTTATGTACAGTTTGGGTTTTTTAAGGCATATATTAAATTTGATACTGGAGTAACAAAACTGCTCTGTTTGTGTCCCTTTCTGAACTTCTCCACTTGGTGTATTTTTTTTAATGTTTCATTGACATTCTTTTCTTTCTCTCTTTTTTAATCACTACCTATCGACTCTCCTTCCCTAAAATAGAATCCTTCCACCATAACAAATAAATATAGTCATTCAAAGGAAACCACGCACATTGTGGAAAACGTACATCTCATTCTGCACCACTAGTCAATCCCATTCCAAGAATTAGGAGGCATACTTCATTATCCATCATCTGAAATCATATTGGACTTTGCATTGATCAGCATTCTAAAGTCATTGTACGAATTATTTTCCTAGTTCCCACTTCACTCTAGCATAAGTTCATGCTAGACTTCCCAGGTTTCTTAGAGTTTGTCCCTTTTGTCATTTCTTACCCACAGTAATACTCCATTACATTCATAGTCATAATTTTTTCAACCATTGCCCAAATGATGGACACCTACTTTGTTTCCTTTTTTTTTTTTTTTGCTACAACAAAAAGTGCTGCTATAAATATTTTTGTAACACATGGGTCTTTTCTTTCTAAAGGGCCTTGAGGGTACTTGCAAATAATTTGTTCACAAGGCTTTGAACCTCTTGCAATTTTATCCCATTCCTAGAAAGTGCAAAAGTAAACTTTTGGTAAAGTTCATGACCAATTATTTACAAATTTTGAAAGAGAGAAACAGAGTCCACATGAAGAGAGCTGCCTGCGTGTTTCCACTGCCAGGTCATCTCTTACTGACCCTCAAACCTGTGTAAAACACATAACAGCATCCGCAGCCTCAGAACGAAAGCCTAGGATTAGTGTAGATGCTTTGGAAAAGAGGTAAGCAGTTTCAGGTAAGCAGTGGTTGCTGGGGTCAGGTGTTTGCTTTTTGTTGGGGAAGGTGGGTAGTGTAAGTAGGGAGAGAGCAAGTAAGAAAGGGGAAGCTGAACATAATCTTGTACCATTGTAAGACCATTTCAACCAGATATGATGTATATTTTTAATAGCTCCTCGGACGATACATTATATGCATTAGTCATTCAGAAAGCATTTTATTAAGTGCCTACAGAAGCCTAAATAAAAGTTAACAAGCTGAGATGAATTGCTATCTGATTTAATACCATATAACACTTGCTCAGGCCTAATTCTCCCACTATCACTTAGGAGCTTAGATGTGTTCACCATTGATGACCATATAGATTGATGCAGCATATTTTTTTTTTCTATCCAAAAGACAAAACAGAAGAGATAGCTGGATGAAAAAATGTTTGCTTCAATTGACCTGCTTGGTCCTTGTAGCCAGAGTTTTTAGGGGTGTTTACTAAGCAAGTATGGTATGGATAGTTATCATAGAAACATCTCTCTCAAAATCTGGAGCACACTCTACCACAAAAACACACAAGGTCCGTGGTAAGAATGGTCACAAACTTAAAATATGACATTGAGACCCACAGAAAACACATGGGACAAAGGCAATTTACTCCCGCTGTGGAATCCTCAAGAAGTTCCCTTGAGGAGCAGCTCTCTGCTAACAACTCCCTGAGGGTCAGGGACCTCGTAGAGGTCTGCACCTTCTCTTCTGTGTGTCTATACGTAAATGAATCAAATATTTACTGTAAGATATACTGCATAGGGGCAGCTAGGAGGCTCAGTGGATAGAGCACCAGCCCTGGAGTCAGGAGGACCTGAGTTCAAATACAGCCTCAGATACTTGATACTTATTAGCTGTGTGACCCTGGGCAAGTCACTTAACCCCATTGCCCAGCCCCCCCAAAATATATATACTGCATATGTGCATATATTTCATTCCCTAATATATACATATATATTCTCTAATATGTGCAGAGTGTCCCAAAAAATCTTAATGAAGTTTTAAGCCATTAAAGTTTAAAAATGCACTAAGGCTTTTGGAAAGCCCTGGATATGTGTGTATATGTACAAACATATGTATGTATACACATATGTGTGTATGTACACTCTTAGGGGATTAATAGATGTTGAACTGGTGGATATAAACAGTTATAGGATATGCGAACACAGGAATGTAAACAATAAAGGCCATAGGAGCCTTTGTCAGAACTGGCCACAGATGCACATGTATACATGCATATAGCACAAGTACATACATTTTGAGTCTCTGACACTTATGAGACTCAAAGTTGATGATTCCATGAGTTACTATTTTTAAAAAGT